TAGCATAGGGATTGTAGCTTCTGTTTATTGAAGCACTTTAGAACCCAGTCTGGGCTTTTGAGTAGTGTTTTGATCATTCAGTTCTTTTTACGTCTGTGTGGCTTGTTAGTATGTAGATTGGCTTGCTAGGCTGGAACATTTCTTCTCTGAAAAATGTAGTATCTTTAGTTAATCACCAAATGCCACAGACTCTGCTGCCATCTCCTGAGGACAAGAGAAATGATGCATTCTCCTTTGCCACATTACATATCTTCTAAAATGGGGAATAATGGGTGATGGTTGAGCCAAAAAAATACTTTTATTCAACTGAAAATGATTCAGAACTTGAAGAGCCTGCCCATTTGGCAAGCATTTAAAAGGGTTCAGACCAATAAACTGAGAAGGAGGTAGATTTACTTTTACCACGAGGAGGAAAGGACAGAAGTTGGATCTTTATATTTCTTTGGGAATTGATAAGAGAAGTGCAGTACCTCCTTGCTTCCCTTCTGTCTAAGTGAGGCAGGCAATGTCAGGATTACTTTCTGCTCCCTGCTGGAAGAGGGGAAGGGAAGAAGTGACTTATATGGGAGTTTTAGAGCAGCAAAAGTTTGTCGGGGAGAGATTTGAGGTGGGGAAGCGAGGCAAAAGAGAGAAGTAATCCGTGCATAGAAGAACTGCTGGTTATTTGGAGGCTCTTGGACTTGAAGACCTGAGAGTGGAGAAGCACGGCATTGAAATGGGGTAACTGTGTATTTGTGTCAAAGCATATTGAATTAATTCATTATGGGAAGGAAATGAAACGAGCCTTTATAGAAAATAGAGCCAAAAACATTTCCACAACACTGTCACTAGGTGACTAAGATTAAGATATTGGAATTTTCCTGGGGGCAGAGTAATTTTTTAAAAATTACTCTGAAAATACCATGCTGCATGGTAAAATCCTGATGCATGAAGTACTTCCTGAGCTCACTTGGCCTTCCTCCTCCCTCTCTCTGTTCTTTTCCAGGCTCCATGTGATTTTTGGCCCTTAGCAGACTAGAATCTCAATCTCTGAAAAAAAAAAATTCCCACTTCCATCATCTGACCATTGTATTTATCTTCTTTTGAGAGTATGGGGTCAGATCCTGGGCAGCAGCTGAAGGCTTGTGAAAGTTTTCTCTGTGGCACTTATAATTTCTAGTCACTAAAGATCCCAAGTTAAGTTGAAAATTGTAATTAAAGGAGATATGTTTGGTTTTAGCTCTTTAGCACAAATTTTCATTGGAGAATAATTCATTCATATTGAAAATTGGGAGGGGGAGGAAGCTTTTTGTTGATGAGTTAGGTGCTTGCAATGATTGATGCCTTAGAAGTAATTGAAGGTAGGCACATAAAACTGATAGTGTGTTCTGTTATTTTTTCACAGTATGTTATTTATATAATCCATGATTCGAACACCTCAATAAAACCACCAGCCCTGAGACTGAGATCCAAAGTACAGGCAGGAGACCCATAATGACCTGCCATAATATAACAGACATGGGCATTTGTAAAGAAAGGTCTTTCAGTGACCTATAGAAATAGTTTGTGGGAAGCAGAGAAATGCCTTTCTCCTGATGTCCATAGTGTGTTACCTACTATAAGTACAAGAAGTGCCCTTGAGCTATATAGATTTATGTAAATAAAGCACTTTGTGAGCCCGGCATCACTTCTACTTTGAATTTGAAGGGAAGCCTCTGTTCTTACCTGAGGATCATCAGGTACTTCATGTACACCAATTAGCAGAGGCTCATGATCTCCTGGGAGGCAAGTAAGGGTTATAATTGTAATATGCAGGGACACTGAAAGGGCTAGTAATTTATAAGATGTCTCAGTATCAGTAAGGGAGACACAAAACTAACTTTGAGCTAAGTTGTTTCAAACTGGTGAAGTATTTCTACTCTGTAATCATGGTTCAAAATCTGAGTGTTCTTGTGAGCCTCATGAACTAATACGGAGAAGTGGTTAGACCAGTAGTGGAGAATTAGGATTTCTGGCAGCTCTTGATCTGATGTATGATCACAGGCAAGTTGTTTCCTCTTTCAACTGACTTTGATGCACCTGGGATAGGCAATTATAATATCTAATCCTTTTCGTCGTGAGGTGCTTTGAAGCAGCAAAGTGTTAGAGCTACTAAGTGATGTATGTATGGCTGCTTTTCTGTTCTAGAGCAACTACATTTATTTCTGATGTTCTGGAGTTTGAAAATCCTGTCAGCTGGGCATGGTGATTCTTGTTCTTTGTATCCAGCTGCAGAATGTTTCTTGGGAAAGTTTATTTTCATTTGACACTTGTCGAAATGACTTCACTGTCTCCCCTTGGCACTTTGTATAATCAGACAGTTGAGGTGCTTCATGATTGTACTGCTACTTTAGCTTTAAGGTTGTTTGCTGAGGTTTTTTTGGTTGAGATCAGAGTTGAGTCTAGATTTCAGGTCTAGGAAAACTCTCAAAGAACAGGTTTGAGCTGGGAGAACTGTGAGGCTATTGTAGCATACTGAAAAATTTGCTTCTTGCATGTGAAAAACAGGCAGTCTTGTACAATGGTCAGGTTGAAACAGAGTGAATTATCCAAACATATTGATGAAGCCTTGACTGTGATGTGCTGTGTATTTTTTTTGTTACAAAGGAGAGAGGCAAGGAGGATCTGAAGTACGTCTTGACAAATTATGACACACACCAGTGAAACATATTCACACTGATATCCGTTTGAATCACAAGTTCTGAGCGAAGTCTTCTGTTAATTTTGATTCTAAAATTACTTTGCTTTCTCCTCTATGTCACTGTGCCCTTCTATACTATCCAGCACACAGCTGGGGGTAACTTCCAGCAGGGTATCGGGTGTCATGCACATACATGTTTTCAGTAGTAAGTGGGGCTGAAGATCGGGGGGCTCAGAAACAAATCAGTAAGACGTTTTGCGTGCTAGGCTTATTACTTATACTTCTGGTTTTCTGACAAGTGGAGCAGAGTAGATTTACAGCCCACAGATCTCCTAAATAATTGAAAACATACCAGTCTGCCCACAAGAACTAGTCTAACTTGTGTGCCTAGCAAGACAGCTCATCTGTTTAAAAATCCCAACAAAACAACAACAACAAAATAAACCAACCCTGAAACACTAGGGAGGCTCTTTGGCTTTGGAGCTGAATCTAAGCAAAGCCACACCCTTCAGGTCTATAGCTTTCATAGCTCTGGTTTGCTTTTATTTTATGAGTGGATTATCCTGTCTAGACTCCTGCTTTGACTTGGAAGCCAAAATAGAAGCAATAAAGCTAGTTGGCCGCTTAGCAGGTGACAAACCTTCTCTGAAGTCCTTTAATTTGTTAGGGCCCTTTTCCCCCTCGTGCTCCCTCTTCTGACTGATGATACCTCAGTAAGTTTTATGAGTTGCAGATACAGCTCCGCTAAATTTAGCGTGCAGATGCCTTCAATAAGCCTGAGCCCAGCTATCAGTTACGCTGAGATCTGTTTCAGTCAGGCATATCCCTCTGGGGAGAGACGTTATTTAAAGTTGAATGAGACTGAGATTCTTGGAGCATTAAGAAACTCGGAATTCCCCCTTTTTCTCCCTGATGTTGGTTCTAAACTAGTGTTCAACACTTACTGTTTGCTGGGACTGAATTTGTGTTTCTTCCTGAAATTGGCTTCCTCTTAAGCTATCATTCTTTGTGGCAGTTGTCCTTTGGTATATGTCAAGAGGCAAAAGGCAGCCTTAGCAGAAGTGAACACTGATGTCTCCTTTAGCCTGTGTTACTTCCACCAGTATAAATTTAAGACATAACAGGAAAGAGGCAGTGTTCAAATAGCAGCCTATCCGTAGTAGGCTGCAGATAGAGGAAATGCAGCTGCAGTAGGACTAACTGGATGGCCTTTGGTCCTACAAAGTGTGAGGGTTTTTCTAGCAAGTGCCTGAAGGATCTTAGGGCACTGGCATGTTCTGGGCATGCATCCAGTTTCAGTAACAGCTGCATGTCACTAAAGTCCCACTTCCATTTGGATTTTGTGGATCGTCCTCGCTTCCGCTCTTTCATTGCTGGGCAGCGTCGCTGCAAGCTTTTAATGAACAGCAGCCTTACGCACAAGAAACTGGTGTCCTTCGCTAGTGAAGCCTCAGTGTGCTTTTTCCCCAGTAACGGAGAGTCACAGTATGCTGCAGTTGAGACGTGAGCGTAGTCCTAGGGTAGGTCAGAGAAATGCCTCCGGCAGAGATTGGAAAAACTTACTGTTGTACATGGCAGTAGTAATTATTTGGGATGCTGTAAGCAGTTCTGGTTAGCCATGTTTAAGGAAAATTAACTTTAATCTGAAGGAACGGAAAGAAGAGCTAGTATGACAATAGTAGGAATTAAAAACCAGGAGGAGGCCAGGAGCTTGGCTTTAGTTAGAGGACGAAAAGCATGAAGAAGTCATGGTAGCTCCCTGAAAAGGCACGTGTGTTAGGCTGTATGGGTACCCATCAACTACTGAAGCTAATGAGCAAAAAGAAATGGCATAGGGGTAGACTTGAGTACATTTAGGATGGAAATGAGAAGAAATCCTAACTATGAAGATAACGGTAGCTTGGGAATATGTTTAAGTGGCTTCAAGGGATGGGCATTCCATCTAGGGAAGGGTATGGATTTGTAGAGCATTGTAGAGTAATAAGAGGCCTGACATGATGAGCCAGGAGTCCCTGATTCCTCCATATTAGAACAGTTGCTTGGGATGGGGTGGCTGACTTGGTCCAGAAGCTTGGACACCTAGGCTGAATACAGCTCATACTCCACATCCATGGAGTGCTACCTGAGATGTAGGATTGGAGTAATAAGTGTGTATCTTCTTAGTAATATTATTGGAATAATAGATAAAATAAGCTGTTAAGAAAGGGCATGTCCCTTCTGGGTGCTTCAGGCTCTTTACACACCTTTATGTTCATTCATCTGCTAATTTGAGCTCATGATTGAATTGTTTTCCTTGCAACAGCAGAGGATGGGTATTTCTGGTACAGGCTGTACTGAGCTGAATGCACAGGACTGGCCTAATCAGACCTTAGCTGATACTGGTTTGGCTGAGAGGTAACTTGAAGAAGCAGGTCTACTTGTAAACAGCTATTAGAAAACAAACAAAAGAACAAAAAAACCCTAAGCCATTTCTGTTACTCCAGTGAAAAGTCCTTTGTTACAGGTGTTTTGTCTTGGATCTTTTGAGGCTGGGGTAGTTTTAATTCCTTAGATTTGAAGTTCATGTTATTCTGTAAATGATAAGGTGTAGCACAAAATCATGTAGATGCCTAATGATGGCTGTGTTCCTTGTCCACAGTACTTTCCAGCCTGCCCCAGCTTAAACTGGCACTTCTGCTCAAGAACCGACGGGCTCTGCCTCTGGCAATTTTTTTTTCTCTTCCTTATGCTGGCAGAAGATGTGTGGTGAACCCAATCAGGGGACTGATGTGGGTTAAAATGAAACTTTTCATTTTTTTGGCTAGGTTAGTTTTAATTGGGGTTGGTTCACCACATTGTTGCCCAAATGTCTGTGCCAGCAAGAGGATGGAAATGAGTGGCTCAGGGACAGCAAGGCTGCTGCTTCTGGCAGCAGTGCCAGCTTTCCTGTGTTTTTACTCCAGTGGCACTTCTGCCGTGCTGTCCTCAGGCAAAGTGATGAACTTTCATGATGTGGGTCTTCCTTTCCATGTCCTCATTTAGTTTACTTATTAAATGTTTTTGTGTGTAATAGATGTGGTGCTGATCTAATCAGCTAGTGCTATACATTTAAGTTATTTATGGTTTGAGTACATATTTATTTAAACAAACATATTTAGCATATTAATTTATGCTTCCTGCAGTGTTTCTCAAACTTTTTTTGTATTGTCCTCCAGGATAAATTACAGGCCCTGGTGCAACTCTCGAGCAACGAGGAAACAGCTAGTGACAGAGCACGGGAGGCAGGCAGGAGGAGATGGCAGGAGGCAGCAATGAATGTGGCAAGTGGTGAGAGATAGGGGGGGAAGCCCAAGGGCTCAAGGAAACTGTTAACAGAACCTCTTAGCCACCTACTACTAGAACTTGTTTCTCTGGCCTGATGCCAGCCTCAGAGGTGATGTCTTGGCTCAGCAGTTAAGAGCAGCCTTAGACTCTCCTTCTGAACTTACTTATTCCCTGTCTGAAACCTTCTTGGTGAAGGTCTGTCTTCTGGCCATGGTCCCTTTCTCAGCTGTCTTGTCCTGGCTGTCCCTGACAATGTATCTTTGTCCTATTGCACGGTCATAATAAATTTTCCATACTGACTGTCTTCTAATGCCTGATTCTTTGCTTCATTAGTTACTAATTAATTTAAAAATAATATTAGAAAACACACTACCCAGTAATAGTCTGTGTCAAAGATTTTTTGCTCAAAGGGACTTGCTCTATAACAACTTTGCTGTCAGTTTATTTTAAGAGTTCATGCTAACATTACTGATCTACTGAAGCTTGGATCTACCAATACAAAAAAAGTATCATCAAGGTTAATATACTATTAAATCTTTTGGACCAAAAGTCTCGGCTTTCAAGGGACTGAGTGTGAATGTGAGGTTTTACTCTTCCCTTACCTCCTACTCTGTAGCTAATTAATCTAGTTGAGCAGTTGAGACCTTGCTCCCTTGGTCTGATGCAGACTGCAGCAAAAGAGGCTGCTGGGTCTTCTCTTTGCTCCTAGTATGAGATTACTGAGGTGCTCTGCTCCAGAAAAACTCCCAGACACAAATACACCCAGGAATCCACATGCTACAGTATTATTCCTACCCTTTGTGAGAAACAGTTAGCAGCAGTGCTGGATGAGATTAGAAAATGGCACAACTTGCCTTCTGTGTGCCTGAAGAAGCCCTGCCATGTTAGGCTGAACGGCTGTGCTAAGCTGGGCATAAAACAAGTATTATGGTTATCCCACTGTCTAATAACTTTGATAGCATGCTTGTTTACAGTGGGAATACTTCTGTGGTGTGAGGAGATCATCCTTACTAGCTCAGTACTTCCTTTATGTTGGACTGTAATTATCAAAGGGACTTGCACAAGTGGTGATAAGAAAGAAATCTTGAGAGCAGAAATAATCTAAAAGATGGAAAAGGCTGTGAAACAATGGGCTGGTGGTGGTAGGAGTCACGGAAAAGAGATACTGCAGACTATTTCTGCACAATATAGTGGTTTATAGCTGGAAACTTTAGAAATATACCCCATTGCTGTTGCTTGTAGTATGCCTGTGTACCTTGACACGGATGAGATGCCAGAATGTGGAGGCTGTTGCTGCTTCTGCCATTCTTGAGATCACTGTTGGAGAACATACTGTCCAGCTCTAGTGAGTTACCTCCCAAGAGACTGCTGTACAACTGGGCAGAGCTCAGGCCAGACTACAAAAATTTGTTGCTTAGTAATTGCCCTTGCAGTGAGGGAGGAAAAAGATCAACACATTCAGTGTAGTAGGGGGAAGATGGATGAGGAGCTGCCCAGAACAATTTGCTAGCACCCACACTGGCATGATATGTTTGACACTGAGAGGCTTTCTAATTTCTTTGGCAAATGTGTGGCTTCTGTACTAGGGAGATTTTCTGATCTGTGTCATACCAGAGAGTAGGCAATGGTGATCCTTGGTATCTTTGCAGAACTGAAGACTGTATTCTTTGCTGTAAAAGAAGAGGAGAAAGTGGGTGTGAGGGCAAGTTATGCTTCTTGAAGTAAACAGTAAAGGCTCCATTCCTATAGCTTTTTCTGATAGTTTTGCAGGCTGCAGTACAATGCCTAGAAAGCATTGTATATTTATCACTCAGCATTGGTTAGCGACACCTAAAACTGATACGACATCTGGAGTGGCAATCACTTAAGGGCTTGTGATGTATAATCAAGGTCAGTTAATAAAACAGAGACAGATAATACTCCAAATTGTTTGGTATGGTTCTTGAAGAAAAAAGCTGGTGGTTATTATCTCTTCTTTGTTTCACTGTATTATGTAAATTTCAGCTATTGCATCCTAGGCATCAACCTATTCAAAACAAGCTGCCTAGGCACAAGAGGCATTGAGGATGGAAAGCAGCTACTGCACACTACTAGAATGAAGTTTGAAGCCTGGCATACAAGGATTTTAGAAAACTGCCTTTGTGAAAACATAATTTGACTTTTTTTTAAAAAAAGGCAAACAGTTTCATTACCAATATTTTAGTAGAAAATAATCTGGTTGCCTGTATGTATTTGGTAAAACAAGGCTGAGTGAACCTAGAATTGTGTGTGTTTTGAACTCGACATGCACTGGCTTTGTACCTGCCTAACTATTCTGATAGCTGTTTGGGAAAACGTTTTTATTATCTTGATTTTTTTTTTTTTTTAAGTTTTCATTTTTGTACTCCTTGTTAAAACTATCTATGTGCATGCAAGAAATTGGCTGGGGGAATATGAACACCTAATAGTTTTTGTTTTGTTTTTTAACTTGCTTCTGTAAACATAGTGTTTCTGTTAGGAAGTTAAGTCTTAGAAAAGGGAGAAGCTTGGTTTGTTTCTTTTCAGTATAATTCAGTACAGTACTGTTATTTTAAGGTTGTGATTCTGCTCTCAGCAGGAAGAATGATCATGACAGATGCAGATATCACCTTGACATTGGCACCCTTGCATGTTAACAGGCTTAATATGCTACACACAGTATTGTTGCTTTTTAGAGACAGGTGTCTAGTAATGACTTAGTCCTTGTCTAAGCATAAGCTTTATGTTGATAGGTGGTAAAATTAGGGCTGTCTTTGAAGTATGGATAAGGACTTCATTTTCTTGGTCTCTATTCTAGCCACCTGTCCCTCCCATCTTCCCTCCTGCCCTGTGATCTTGATGATCAGTGAGGAAATTAATGGGATAAAGTTAAAGCTAATAATCCTACAGAGATTTATGTTCTCCTGTCTCCCACACCATAAAACCACACATAGACTACAGAAGGTCAGTGTTAAGTGTGCTCTGAGAAACTTCTGACTGTATAGTACCAACTAAAATGGGGTTTGGGAGTTAAATCATTCACCAACAGAAGACAGGTTGGACACTGCAGTTCAAATATGTATTGAACTGATTATTAGGTGGGACAGTTCTCTAAGCATAAAGTAAATAATTTTGGTGTCCTTAGAAATTTTGCGGTGTGTCAGATGTAAAGCATATTTTGATTTGTTCCAGTAGCCGGATCGAGCTGGGAGATGTGACGCCACACAACATTAAGCAGCTGAAGAGGCTAAACCAGGTCATTTTTCCTGTCAGCTACAATGACAAGTTCTACAAGGATGTACTGGAGGTTGGCGAACTAGCCAAATTAGGTACAAATGTTCTTGCCAGTAATTGTGGGCTATGGTGGCAGAAGTGCTCATCATTGCTATCTGTAATGGTTTTGAATAGCAGATCCTTCTATTTTGTTGTTTTACATAATGAAAAATGTTTGAGAACCTCAAAAAGCCACAGTCCCAACCTCAGAGGGTTTGTATTCTAAATAGATTCCATTTTACTGGGAATAGGCATGTTTTCTGCTACAGCAGAAAATGTGAGATGTGTGCTGTCTGCTTACCTCCTGATGTCATTGCTAGTTGGTTTGAATTGTGATAAGCCGAAACCCTGTGTCGGAGCACCATTGGTAACTTCCAGTGTTAAGCCACAATGTACGATATGTTATCTGGATGGGAGAATTAGCAGGAGGGAAGGAAGGAAGATACAGGGTGTAAATGAAGGAGCTGTATATGTAGTTTGAGACTTGTGACTTATAACACTTCATTTCCCTCCCTGGCAGCCTATTTCAATGATATTGCAGTGGGAGCAGTGTGCTGTAGGGTGGATCACTCCCAGAACCAGAAGAGACTGTACATCATGACACTTGGATGCCTGGCACCCTACCGAAGGCTAGGAATAGGTAAGGAGGATCTTCTTTTGTATCTGAGTCATCAAAGAAACAAGACTGCTGTGCAACCTTCTAAATGCTCTTTCAGATTTTTAACCAAGGTAGTGCACTTTTAGACCACTGATTTATTTGGAAGGGACTTTGGGGAAAGAATAGGAGTTATGTGCTCTTTTTTTCCCCACCTTTCAGAAATGGCCTTTTTTAGAACTTTCTAATTCAGAATTTCAGATTAATTTAATCATATTATCATACCGTGATGTAGATACTCTGCTTCTATAGATGTGAAAATTGATGCACAGAGATATGAAATAGTTTGAGGTATGCAGCCAGTATGCAAGTCATGTGTCAGCAGAAGACAGCATTCCTTCATTGGGTTATCTCTTCACTCTAAATGTACGGTTTTCTCTATTTATTTTGTCTTTAGCACTACTGATTATTACTGCTCAGGGGTAGTACCTGCTTTCTGTCTAGACTGCAATTAGTTCTTTTCTCCATGTTGCAGATCCATAGGCCAGATTAATCAAGATCTTTCAGTAACCTGTTTACTTTGACAAACTGGAATGAAAAGATAACTGGTTTTTAAACTGTTTTATTAGGTCTTTATTAGAAAAACTTAACCAATGCTCTTACTGCTTTATACATATTTTGAGGTGAGTTTGAGACCTTGAAGCTAGTGTTTAAATAAGCTGCTTTATATGCATGCTTATGGGCTGGTGGGTCTGTTTTTTCCAAAGAGACAATGAATTAAATTTGGTGAGCAGTCAGAAAGATAGTGAAATACTTCTACATCATGTTTTATTTGCCTTTCCTAGTTCTCACAAGCTCTGTAATTTTAGCCTACCTACAGTTAACCTGCCTCTCCCTAAGAAAGCCATTAGCTAAGTACAGACTTGATTGTGCACTTCTGGTTTTCTTAAGTATCTCTTTACCTTTCGGCAGGAACTAAAATGTTGAATCATGTCTTAAACATCTGTGAAAAAGATGGCACTTTTGACAACATCTATCTGTAAGTAAATGAGTTACACTCATGCATTTTTGGAGAGGTGAGAGAGGCATATATGGGAGCAAAGGGAGGGATATCCAAGAGCATTTTAGTATGTATTTCAGTGGGGTCATGAGACTTAGAAGTACTAGCAAGAAAGCTAGGGGTCATATTCTGGGCTTGTGTGATGCTGAGAAAACCAAAAGCTTGCTTGCTTTAGAAGGGCTTCTCCAAATTTGCTGAATTTGAAAGCAGTTTAGTTACAAAATGATGTTCTATAGCAGAATTACACTGTGTGACTGGAAAAAAAAAAAAAAGGGACAGAATTTGGGTTTTTTACCATGCAGTGATGTCCTCAGAATGGAAAATACTGCGAGCGAGTCTTGCATGCAGTGTGATGCCTTAGCTGTCTACTTTTATGATGGTACTGTGTAGATTAGAACAGCAGATCAGAGGTGCTTGCAAGCGCTCTAGGTTTGCATTCATTAGCAAGGCCCAACTGCTTAGTCCTGTTCTTGCACTGTGACAGGTCAGCTGTTTGTTCAGCAACACAGTAAACTAGGACAATAACCTGACCCAGTTGGGGAAGCAGTTTTCAGCTTTGTTTCTGGGTGTTGGTTTTTAGTGGAGTGGTTTTGGTTTGTTTCAGTTTTTTTAAATCAACTGCATGTCTGTGTAAGCACTTGGCATGATGCAGACATGTGAACAAGCTCTGGGGTAGAGGACAGGGCTGCTTTAAAGGCACTGCCATCCTAATAGATCCCCGTGGAAATAGAGCCAGAAATCCGTAAATGCCAAAGCTTTGCTTCCCCTTTGCTGCTGGCTGCACACTTCTGCTTCTTTCTGTGCATTGGTGTCTGTGTGATTACCAAGTGAGCTGATGAACTTTTTTGGCCAAACTTCTCCTCTGAGCCAGCTGCTTCTTTGTCCATCACCACCAGCTAGGTAGGGATAGTCCCACACCAGGTATGGCTTGGATGGGCTTCTGCTGCCACAGAACTGCACCCTAAACTCTTGCCAGGACTGTTGGAAGCCTGTTAGCAAGGGGTGTTTTGTACACTGCTATCGCAATAAATGGAGTGACACACTTCTCAAGTTTAGTCCACCTCTGCCAAGGAGGGGTAAAGTCTTCCAAGTCCTCTACTGTTGTAGCTTTGTGCCATCTCTGTAAGAGGAACAGGTGTTTTAAAGAGGAGTCAGAGTAAAGCTGCTCTTGGCTTGTATTCCTGCTCTCCTGCCTCAGGAAAAGTGGTAATGAACTCTCTTAGGTGCCTGCTAGTCGGCACAGGCTTTCCTTTTTGCTTTTGCATGTTACTGTGCTCACAGTGAAGGAACTGTTTGCTGGTTTTAATACAAAGCCCAAATCCTTCATAATCTTCCTTTCTACTTCCCGAAGTAGGATTCTGGGATGACAATAAATACCCCCCAAAGTTGGGCACAACAAAGTTCTTTTAGTGGCCCACTGATTTTATTACTCTGTCTGTTGCTTGTGCATCTTTCTATCTGTATGTACTGTGCAGCTTAGCACCCAGTTTGATATCGGTGCTTAAATTTGTCATTATTGTGAAGTTCCCTTTTAGCTATTTGGTGGTTGTTGGGCTTAACACTAAGATCTTTTGTTTTGTTCTGCTGTTGCTTCCAGAGTTGCTTTGGTTCTATGGTTGTGCAGCATGCTTTCATGACAAAGTGATTCATGAGCTTGTGCAGTGTCCACTGAATTTTGGGAGTGTTTAATGAATGCCTTTTGCTGAGCCAAACTTTTTTTTTTTTGGATAGAACTTGGGCAAATAAACATCCTAGTTGTTTAGGATGAAGAACTGATGGCTATTTGTTTTGGAGGCCTTGAAACTCTTGCAGTATGCTAGCAGGATCTGTGAAACTGGGATGGATAGATAGATAGATAGATAGATAAGAGGGGAAAGGACTTTTTAAGTCCATAGGGGCTTCTTTGTGCTGCTACAGCTTTTTGTGAGGAGAGGGGAGTAGTTACAAGTGAGCACGGAGTTAAAATTGTATCAGACACCATTGCCAGTTTTTTGTTGCACCCTGTATGGATCATCACTCAGACAACTGTTAAGGTCATCTGAGAAGTGTTGCTACAGGAAGTTGAAATTGGCCCTACCCTGAAACTTTGTCATGTATTTCCACAAAATATGTGACTTCCAACTTAAGAAAAAAATGACATTACTGAGCTTGTAATGCTTCAGAGTGTTTCTGCTATTTGTGTTCCTCAGAAGAACTTTATTGAGGGGAAACGCCACTTCTCAGAATGATTGCAACAGGCTAACCAGGAGCTGTACGTTAGCTCAGGATTGATTTGGAAAAACAAAAATTTCCAGTCCTGAACTCACACTGTTGTTCCTTTCTCTGTCTAGATAGCTCCTTTCCTTATCTTGTCTTGGACTGTTCTGAGTGTGGAGGCAGGATACTGTACCGCAGAAAGTTCTGATAGCTGTCTCTCTATCCTCCTTTCTGTCCCAGGCATGTCCAGATCAGCAATGAGTCCGCAATTGACTTCTACAGAAAGTTTGGCTTTGAGATCATTGAGACGAAGAAAAACTACTACAAGAGGATAGAGCCCGCAGATGCTCACGTGCTGCAGAAAAACCTCAAAGCCCCTTGTCTTGGCCAGAATGCAGATGTGCAAAAGACCGACAACTGAACAAAACCCCAACGAACACTTTCTTGCACTTGCTTGTCGCCAAATAAGGAAAGAGAGGCCTCTTTATTTTTTTTTTTTTTAATTCCACCCCTTCATCCTCTTGGTTTTTTTTCTTGACCTCTCTCCAACAAAATGTAATGCTTCTTCCAAGGATTGTCCCATCATGTTTGGGGGTTGGTTTTTTTTGAGCTCTCCTTTCTGGGTTGGTTTTTTTTTTTGGTTTGGGGTTTTTGTTTTTGGGGTGTTTTTTTGGGGGGTGGGAAAAGGTGTGCAGATCTCTTAAGTTTGAGGTGTGGAGGGCTTGAGCAGGTTATCCTGGTGACAAGTTTCTTTCAGAATTCTCTTTCAGTAAGCAGAATGTAAATCCAATGGGGGGGAAAAAGGAAAAGCAATTCTTGTCCTTTGACTCCTACATTATTGTGGTTTTTTTATAACCTACAGGGTACTTTACTCCACCCCAACCTTTGAATGTTCAGTACTTCCCACTCTTCCTCTTTATTCCCCCTGCCTCAAAAAAGTATGTTTAGTTCTTCCCAATATTTTTGAGTATGGCTTTTCCCTCCACCTTTTGCTGAGAAGGGTGGGCTACTTTACCATACCTTTTCACTCTGCCTGGGCTGATCTTTTTTGAATGCTTTTTTTAAATACTCCTCACCCAAGCTGGTGCTACACTTCTTAACTGAGAGGAGGGTTTAGAGTGGTCTTTGTTTTTTCTTTTTTTCATTTACCCAACTCCCAGCAGACTTCTGCCAGAGTAAAAGTTAGATCTGGTGTTGGCAAGAGTAACCTTGTGAAAATATGAATTCTGAGGCAAGACCCTTGCTTTAAAAATGGGTGAAATGCTGTGGGGCTCATTGCAAGTTAGTTTCATCTTCATTGTTGGGATGGGAAAAGTGACTGTGACCACCTCACCAGCTTTGATTGTGTAAGGCAAGCAGCTGTCTCCAGATAAATCTGTTACAGCTACTAAATCTGTGGTGGCACATCTGAGATGAGGTGAGGGTTGAGGAAACCAGGCAGCAAGGCTGAGAAGGCAGACATGAATCTGACCCTATTCACATAGCTTTGCAGGGGTCTCCTGGATTTGCTTGGGATTGGCTTGGCTTGCTGTGTTTATGTGCTCCTTCGGGAGGAGGTGGTGAAGAACTGCACAGTTTGCTCCTTTTGAAGATTTTTTTTGTTTTGTTTTCCCCCTTTCCCCATTCAGTGGTAATAATGCAGTTCTCTCATGAGAGGGTGTTCATGGAGCACCGGTGAAAGGGGCATATATTAGAGCATTTTATGGGTTTGGAAAATAGGCTGACTGGCTTCTTTCTAGTACTGTAACCTCAAAGCTACAGTAAACTCTACTAAGCTCTGCTTTGCATCCTTTCATGCTTTGTTTGCGTGAATATCAGTGCTCCTTTCTATGCACTGTTGCCAGCAATTTTATGTATGCCAATACAAATACCAACCTGAGCTTGGACTTTTCTCCAAGCACCTGGGAAAGTGCACTGAGCTGAGACAGCACCAACCTGCCCCATCCCCCAAATAGATAATCGAACTGCATTCCTTTCCTGTTTGTTCTTTAAAGTTGAAACCCGCATCTTGAATTCATCCGCTTTGAAAGCCTCTGACTGACAGCGTGCATCGCAGCCTTCATCTGGTTAGTAGGTGCTGTCCAGCCATTCGAGGGTGACTTGGGAACCAAGGATTTCAAGATGGGAGTTGTGGTGAGGCAAGGGATGGCACCCCTCATTGCACATTATGTGGTCTTTGATACCCGAGGGGTGACTGTACAAGCTGCTCCAGAATTACTCCTCCTTTCCCAGAGGCGCGTAGTGCTTGGAGTGCATCTCGACAGACCTATGCTGTATGTAAGATGGCTACTTTTATTTGCTGGGTTTGCACTAATTGAGTCTTGGGGACAGGTATATCACGAACAACAAAAGCCTGTCTGCATGGCCTGAGCACCTGTGTTTGCAACACTCAGTGGCAGACTCTGGCTAGAAAGATGCAAACAGTTTCCTTGGCCAGAGGCAGCCTAGTTTTGACAAAAGCTTATTTTTAGTACTGCTAGGACCTGCTCACACTGGTTTTGGCAGTTCTGGCATCTTTCTAGAAGGGAATGTATTGAAGCACAATTAGCTTTCATATGCCAACACAGTTTCCCTGGCCATCTGTAGACCAAACCAAGAGAAGTACATGGAGGGAGAGACAGTATTGTATTTGAGGATGTTTGTGCAGCACAGCTGTAACTCAGACCATAGCTGCCTCTGGTGCCAAGCAAAGTGCTCTTCATTCTTCTAGAACTAAGTGGTAAGTGTTTGGGTTGGGTAGATGGGTGTGGGGATATGAACTCTTAGGATTTGCTGTTGTCGTAGGCTTCCACAAATTGGTGTGTTTCACAGACAGTTTTCCTTCAGGTTTAAAAGTATGAGTCTGATGTCTGAACTTACTTGGATTAACCTTTGTTTCTGTCTCTTTGCTTTGGGCTGCCATCATTCTATGAATGTATCCCTGAAAACAATTCTTAAAGCTCCTATTCCATAGCAAACCTGCCTCACTGTAACTTCTGATGAAATGTTTCATAGGAGGTGGAAGAGAGAGTAACCACAAATCTAAGACTCCTTTTCCCAGGCTATTAATCCTGGAAAACGGTTGTTGAATCTTGAATACAAGGTTTAATCTGAATCTTGTAGAAAGCTGTGTTCCCTGTACGTGGATAAGGGCAAGTGACGGTCAGTAGTTCTGGATGACAAACAGTTGTATTTTATAGCTGTATTAGCCCTGTTGAGTGTCAGAGGAGAACTCTTTTAGTGCTGTTACCTGGAGACACTGAAATTTGTGTGAAGTATAGGCTTACTGCAGAGAACTTCAGTTACTTTGGTTGTTACTGCAACAAGACCTCCTTTTAGCTTGAAAATAACAGCTTATAAACAACTACATTCTTTAAAAGTTGGGGGG